TTATCGACAATTAGAGAGAACCTACTCAAGTGGTGGTACAACTATGCATGATTTGGATTTAGAATTTCAAAATACCTGTTACAGAACAAACCTTTTGTTATATACCTATTTGTGTTTAATGATGTATTTTATATCATGTTTATCAATATTAATAAACAACCAATTGGTCATGCTCGACCGATTTTGCCTACATACAAATATACACACTACGATGTCACTCTTAACAATAACAAACATGACACATGTGTATGATATACAATGAAAATAGTTATAGAATTTATAAAAGTATCGTATTTCCATCATAAAATAATTTTTAACATTTATTCTATTTAAAACAGGATGTTTATGATAATTGTTCAAAGAGACACAGAGACAGAATCATATATTACTTTCGTATTGAATAAACATTATCTGTGGTTATTTTACTAATGATTTATATTTCAACTATTAAATTTATCGAACCTTGAATTATCGACTAGCATTATTTATTTGGATAAACTTTGAATATAAAACTGAAAAGTCATTTGGAGGTGTATTGTACAAAATAAAGGTGAAATTTGTACTTAGAATCGGATATATAAAGTTTTTTAAATTGTATTCATAGGAAATATACTAAGTTTTATCTCTAGAAAAGTATCCATTCTTTGGTGCTCATTATCGGCATACATTTAAATGACTTGACAAATTATATCTGCATTCCACTTTTGGAAAAGAGACAAATCTGTAGAACGCAATAACATATTAACCGTCTTCTTTCAAAATACTTCAGATCTTTAAAATTTGACCATCTATATTTGAAGAATTTCAGTTGCCTGCTTTTATAAGACCGACCTGTTTTATTTTGTCGTTATGTCTGCTTTGTCGAAACATCAAATGACAAAACAAATGAAAAAACAAGTATAATTGAATTATGTAGACGATAATTGCTGCATTTTGCTGTAAAACAATCTTATCATACGAAAACTCTTCCCAAATGCATCACATGCATGCAAAAGTCAAGTTCGTTGAAAAGCTGGGCTAGTAAGAATGCAAAATGATGACTGTATGCAAATAAAATTGAAACCGTTATAACGAATTTCATATTCCATAACAATTGATGGCACCGGTAACGGATAACTGCCGAGCATACTGATAAAACAGATCTGTTTTCTTGTTTGGGATGTTGTATTTCCAATATTTGGGGGCGTTGATAATGATAAAGTAAAATCCTCCCTGCATGCAACGTTGTTATACAATGTTGGTTTCGTCGTTATACAATGTTGGTTTCGTTACATTCTGTGACGTTTAATAAATTTATTTGTTAAACAATCCAAATTCCTTTCCTTCTGCAATAATAGAAATTGACTTCTCTACATTTTACACAAGTATTACTGATGCTAAGCTTACGAAAATCTTTAAATTATTAGTCCAAATTTGCTTCATAACAAACTCACAGCGTAGATACAAATATTGTGTTAAAAAACCCAATGTGATTCAAAAAATAAAGTTCACAAACACATAAGCCATCAACTTTAAGATGCTTGTTCATGTTCATTGACCACATACTTTTTACATTTGAAAGACATTTTTTTAAACATTACTATCCAAACCAATGATGACCCTCTGTTTGTAGACATTTTCTTTATTTGTTCATTTTTTTCAACAACAAAAAAGAACTTGCATTAACTATAACTGCACGTGTCTAAGTTTAGAAGATTTTCTTATGTATCACACGAGCTAGAAATAAAGGATAGCAAAGACGCACTAAGTCTGCCTTATAAATTGACACATGTCTAGAATTTGACAATTACGGGTTTAATACTAAGTTTTACGACAAAGGAGAAGATTCCGATTTCCATGTTCCTTGTGTGAACTTTCGTTACTGTGTACCAACATTTCGGCGCCTGTTTCTTGCAGATACAATGATATTCTAGTGATGTAGCTTCCTATAATGATTTTCTTTATAAAAGGCTACTGTTTACATATAAACTGTGGCAACGGTAATGTTGGTGTTAAATCTCCGAAAAATATGATTCTACAGGCATATTGCACGAATAATTCGGCAAATTAAATTCTTATAATTGATAATCAACACTGCTGCTATCATAGAATTGTGATTAAGTACCTACGAAACAAACATTCGTTCTAGTTTATCCTGCATAATGACAATCACGGAGATGCTTGATGAACTTTAATAGTGCAGGGATACATGGCATCCCCCTCTATCTGGTAAATGACGTCATAAAGGTGCACATAATTGACAAACTTGTTCGATGAAGGACATAAATTGAAAGTGGTCTATTTTTTTTAGTTACACGACGGATGATACTTGTGACACAATAACTTCTTTGCCTTGCGTTTCAGTCGAGATTACCCCCGGATTTTGGTGCTGTTCTTCCGTAATAATTTTAGTTTTCTCTGTAGTTTTTTTGTTGTTGTTTTTTTTTTTTTTTCCTGGTATTTTGAGTTTTATAAGAATTGACTGTGTATTGTCTCCTTGGCATTTTATCTCACTTTTTTCATTTTTTTTTCATTTATCTAAATGGGTCTACAGGTAACTATTGATTTCATATATTGTTCTCAAGAATGTTTGACTTGTTGATCACTTTATGTTCGTATTGAAGTAAATATGATACAAATTTTAGAAACCAATTTTTTTTTTGTTTTAGCAATAATTATGTGCGCTAAAAGATTATTTTGGAAAACTAAATACACAAATCAGAAAAAGGAATAAAACAGAAATAACCTAGTATACTGAAACTTACAACTTGTTCACAATGACAGATTACTCATTATACTTGTACATGTAAAATATTTTTAACAAAGGCCTAGGGTATTGTCAAAATAGAAGATAAGTATACATATGCCAGGAGCACACCACATATCTGTTCATTATACATGGTATATGTAATTATCGAGTATCCTGTTCTACTGAACATCAAAAATTAAAAAGTTTATAAAACATGAATAAAGAAAAATAATTTGTATATAGATAAATAATGTCAGACTCGTGTGTTGTTTTATATTTATAACGTCACCTTACCATACAGCACTAAATAAAATAACTCTACTGTTACGAATAACATCTCTTTAGTCTTCCATCGTTTTAACTGCTTGAATCTCCACATTTACATGTATATGTGTATTGGGCTCAGTCTATTCTAATGATTTCTACTTGGGGAAAAGGGTAAGAATATCCAAGATATAAAGGGGCGTACATAAAAAAAAACAATATAAAATCAGATTCTGTAACACGTGTTATGCGCTAGGTTCGTTTACATGTTTTGTCAACGATGGCTGTTTGCATTTAACATAACCGTCAAATCAAACTAGGATCGTTTACAATATTTTTAACCTTTCATCATTAATTGTGCTATCAATTTAAAACAACAAAAAAGGTTACAATTAATTAATGTAAAGTTGAACTTTTGATGATGTGAATTTTCTAATCTTTATAGGTTATGTTTGGTCATATAGTGTCTCGTGTATAAAAAGTAAAATAGCAAAAATACCGAACTCTAAGGAAAATTCAAAATGGAAAGTCCTTTATCAAATGGCAAAAACACATCAAACGAATGGAAAACAACTTTCATTTTCCTGTCTTAGTACATGCATTTCCTTGTGTAGAAATTGGTGGATTAAACCTGGTTTTATAGCTACCCAAACCCCTCAATTATATGACAGTTGCATAAAAGTTTCATTATATTAACAATAATGTGTGAGCAAACAAAACACACATAATAGGTAATAATGTCAGAAATTGGGGTACAGCAGTCAACATTGTGTTATAATCTTAATCACTATAAAAACAACTATGTCAACAAAGAAAAATAAAATGGCACAAAAACACTCTATAGACAAAGCACATAAGCAAAAATGAAAAGAGAAGAATATAAAAAATGACCATAGCATAATAACAAAATGGAGGTACGTATTAATACCGAGCCACGCCAAAAGGACATTACCAAAATTGGACTAAACAGTAAAGATTAAAAATATACCTAGACATTTAAAAAGATCACTATAACACGTAATAAGGATCATTTGAGGATGATAAACAACGTCAGTACCTATACTTCAAGACTATCATGTATTATTTATCAACAAGGTCTTGGTATCTTCCGATGAACTTTTTTAATAAAACAAAACGAGACGTTCTTTTATAATACCCGATTCATCAACTTTCTGGCAAGACACTAGTGACGTTTGATAAAGTCTGAATAGCAGCTACAAGCTCTTGAATACCCAATAAGTTGGAAAATGTCTTTCCTATATGCAGGTGAAGTTGGTATATTGCTGCTTAGGTGGGGAAAATTTGTAATTTCAAATTAAAAAAAATTGTCTGGTTTGTCATAGATTCTGGTACTGAGATGAGCACTGATGTCACATTCGAAGTAAAGGTATAAAAAAGAGGCGGATAAGGTATATTCAAGTACTTATAAATCATTGGTTGCAAAAGGTTCTAGTTGAACGTACCCCATAAAGGTTAATCCAGAACAGCAATTTGGACGCACAAAAGTATAAAGTGATATTCTTATTTGACAGTACGAAACGCTGGCTTGTGTAAATTAGAGTTGCAACGTCGTTGTACAATGCATCGCTTTTGATACACGTGTTATAATATAATTTTAAAGATGTTTATACTTAGTAAGCAGTTCAAGCAAATCTTAAATGACCGAATACTGAGATGTTTTACAACTGGTGTGGTGGAGACGCTCGGTTTGTAAACATGTAAATAAAAAAAAACATTATTTCATCGTTTAGCACCCTGATTTGCTAACCATTAGCAAAAACGAAACAGTGGAATTAAAGTTAAGCTTGTGATACGATAGATATCAACTTTGAATACTCATATAAATTGTCATAGTTGCACAAGATTAGAAGATAAATCAAGTAATAAGTCAACCAATTTTAACTGTAAGCTAGGAAGAAAAAATGACCGATGTGGTTTGAAAGAGAAAACAAAATATTTGTACAAGTAAAAAAAAATGTAAAACACCTTTTTTATTAATTAATCGGTATCATTATAAACCAGAAGTTTCAATTGTGGTTTGATTCTCTTTACTTTTTTCACATTATTTGACTCGTCGTTTCGTTACAATAGTCTTCATTCAATCTTGCTGTATTCCTTCAACCAATATATTGTCCATACGATGCAGTTTCATCACTTAGGCTCAATCTTTCACAAATACAAACAGTCTTTATCCCAGTTTCCATTATTCAAATAGATGTTTCGTCCATATCTGTACTTTCGATAACTGTATTTGCGATATTAAAGGGACGTCCTATAATTGAAACATAACATACAAGTTAAAACATAAATGAACTTACACATCAACATCATCATCATTATCATCATCCTCATCGGAACGGGTAATTGTTACTTTTTAAAGGTGCGCGGTTTTTACTTTATGTTCCAGTGTTTTCTTTATCTGTGTATGTGTTGTTTCTACCCATGTCGCTATTGGCTCTGCTGTTTTAACCTCTCCTATAACAGTCAGAAAATGTTCGAGAACAGTCTTTAGAACAGTTTAACTAGCACTTTAAAACAGTTACTGGCAGAATATGATCTATCCTAGCATTGTTTTGGACGGTCTGTTTTAGAACTGAATATCACAGTTTTATCGCTAAAATAGTTTTGAATAATTGTATTATTTATAAACTAATACATTAATTGACTTGTGTTTTCGTTCTTTTCGTTTATTGCTATGGCAATGTCATTTTTTTTCGATTTATGAGTTTGAATATCCTTTTGGTATTTTTCGCCTCTCTTCTAGCAAAATATTTTGATATAAATCGTTGATTCCCTTTTATGGTCATAGAGTTTTGTTTAAATCGATATCATGCATGTATGTTTGTTTGCACAGTGTTGACTGCTGGATCTCAATTATCCTACCAGGAGCTCTGTATTAGTGTTAATACTTTTTGATCCTCCAGAGATCAAATAATATAGAAGTTTTCAATTATAGATCTACGTAGGACCTTTAACAATAGGAAAAACCATACCGCATAACAAGCTTCAAAAGGCACCGACATGACAATTTTAAAATAATTCAAACGAGTAAACTAAGGGCATTATGTATGTACAAAAACACATTTGATATACAACAACAAACGACAACCTGTGAATTACAGGCTCTTTTCTTTGAACAGTCACATACAGAGTTTTAAGAGTAAAACATGTTTGCGGCGCCGACCCTTACCATGATTTCATACCGTGGTGTAACAGCAAACATAAGAAAAAACTATAGAAATCAGTTGAAACAGGCCATAAGTGTTCTCGTTGGAATAGTTTAACTTACTGTGCGGGATTTTGCTCATTGTTTAAGACCGAACGGTGACCTATATTGGTTAATTTCCACGTCATGTGGTCTATGGTGGAGAGTTGCCTCATTGGCAATCATACCACATCTTCTTCTTTATATATTGACTCATCAGATCGACAAAAACATTTAAATACATTTTACACTAAATAATAGCTGAAAAGGATTGATTTGTTTATTTTACATGAGAAACCGTATTGTATTTGAAGCTTGGCCTACGTAAAACATTTTGCTGTTGCAAATTAAGTTTACCTGGTCGTATAAAAATAAGGTTGGCGTAACGCGGAACAGCCGATTTTGTGTTGTAACGCGTTTGCGCTTATAGTAGATATACTGCGATTATGCTGGTTGACGATGTATAGGTCGTCTTATTAGAATGTTCAATACTCTGTTATTAATGGCCAATCTGTCTAAGAATCAGGCAGTGGTGAAAACATGACAAACAAAAACCCACTGAGCTTTACATTGATTTAAGTTTAGAATGTATAATGGTGCATGAATATAACATTAGTTTCCTTTCCCTGTTCTGGTAATTCAAGATATAATTTGGTTGAAATGCACTAGAAATTAACAATTAAGGGGAGATAACTCTGTAATTTGCAATCATTCTAACCAAAATGTATCTGGATATTTCTCGAATTACCAGACACACAGAATTGAAAAACCTACCATTTCTAACTCAGGATGAGGGTACCTTCAAAATAGGGTGGTTAGGTCGTGGGTTTTTTTCGGACAAGTTTTGATTTTTTTCTCAATTGCCTGATCCTTACAAAGATTGGCACTTAAACAACCATTTTTGATTATTTTGAACTGATTGTTAACATGGCTACATTGTCTCCGTTTTGAAAAGCTTCCATACCATCATGTCCTATCATTCAAGTGCAAATAAAGAAACAAACCTTCAGTATCATTTTCGTTTAAATGTCTTTGTCTGCTGCACACTAGAATTAGATGAAATGCATTCATGATTGATATGTTTACATCTTTTCATTCTGTAAGTATGTTTTTATAATTTATATGCCTGATAAAATGAATCGAAATCAATTCATTATTACGAGAAAAATTTACAATTTGTTTTTTTATTTTTTTACTTGCATAATATGCATTACCTTTTGAATTTTACAACATTTAAAAGGTCAAAATTGAAGTTAAGCTACGTAATTGTGCTGTGCAGGCACGGAGGCATGGGTCGTCAAATGATTAATATTTTGATGAATACATTCATTTCAGAATATATCACTTTTGTCGTATACAATAACAGCATATGATAAAGCACAACTCACAACCGAACGACTTGATTATTTTGGAGGGATAAAGGAAATTTGTTCTTAGAACAGCTTGATATCTGTATGTACATGTAACCTTTGAATGTTTTGAAGGATTTTTAGCATCACAAGCAACCCTTATGAATAAGAATTTAAGGTTAACAATTTACTATTTTACTTTTAAAGTTAATCCTGTAAATAATAGAGTATTGACTTCTAACCTGTTGAACTCTGCGGAGAGTGACAGCAGAAAAGAAGTGTACCGATGTTTTAGTGTCGACAGACTTCTTGAAAGACAATGTGAAATGACATATATACAAAAACCTTTAAAATGTTATCAAGTGTTCGGTCTGATTATTAAGTATCATGAATTGTCATTTCAGTAGCGAATAAGTTTTACTCGAATTTAAAAAAAGGTTAAAGTACAATTGAGTTACTGAATTGGAAATTATTGAAAACCAACGAACTATGTAAAATATTAGTCAGGCCATCCATTATTTGTTGAACTAACATTGAATATTGGTTGTCATTATTATTTTTCTTCATTACATACGCATCTCAAAATATTTCCATTGTTGGCCTTATTCATGTTATTGTTATTGGTTGGCTTTTTGCAATTTACGAAACCACAATCAAGGCATCAATTATGGAACTTGACTGTAGTACAATGTTTGACTTGTATTATTTGAGATATTTTTGGTAAGGCTTTTATAACATGTCAGACGGAAACTCATTTGAATCCTAGCTGATGATTTTTTTAGGTTAATATACCCACTCGGTATTAGTTTTCAATGAACTTATCAGTTTAAACACCTTTTTGGAACAGTTGACAACGGGCGATGATTTTATAGGTGTTTCCTTTAGACTTTATTTTCACCTATAAATGTGTGTTGCTGATTGTTGGCCAATTTGCACAAAAATCTAAAAGTCGAAAAAAAATATCACATATTTGACATCAGAAAAGAAGTGTACTGATGTTTTAGTGTCGACAGACTTCTTGAAAGACAATGTGAAATGACGTATATACAAAAACCTGTAAAATGATATCAAGTGTTCGGTCCGACTATTAAGTATCATGAATTATCATTTCAGTAGCGAATAAGTTTTACTCGAATTTAAAAAAAAAGGTTAAAGTACAATTGAGTTACTGAATTGGAAATTATTGAAAACTAACAAACTATGTAAAATATTAGTCAGACCATCCATTATTTGTGGAACTAACATTGAATAGTGATTGTCATTATTATTTTTCTTCATTAAAAACGCATCTCAAAATATTTCCATTGGTGGCCTTATTCATGTTATTTTTATTGGTTGGCTTTTCGCAATTTACGAAACCACAATCAAGGCATCAATTATGGAACTTGACTGTAGTACAATAAAATTGAGAATGGAAATGGGGAATGTGTCAAAGAGACAACAACCCGACCATAGAACAGACAACAGCAGAAGGTCACCAACAGGTCTTCAATGCAGCGAGAAATTCCCGCACCCGGAGGCGTCCTTCAGCTGGCCCCTTAACAAATATATATACTAGTTCAGTGATAATGAACGCCATACTAAACTCCAAATTGTACACAAGAAAATAAAATTAAAAATAATACAAGACTAACAAAGGCTAGAGGCTCCTGACTTGGGACAGGCGCAAAAATGCGGCGGGGTTAAACATGTTTATGAGATCTCAACCCTCCCCCTATACCTCTAGCCAATGTAGAAAAGTAAACGCATAACAATACGCACATTAAAATTCAGTTCAAGAGAAGTCCGAGTCTGATGTCAGAAGATGTAACCAAAGAAAATAAACAAAATGACAATAATACATAAATAACAACAGACTACTAGCAGTTAACTGACATGCCAGCTCCAGACTTCAATTAAACTGATTGAAAGATTATGTCTTCATCATATCAATATCAGGCACAATCCTTCCCGTTAGGGGTTTAGTATCATACCATCATAACATATATGAGAAGAACATAACCCGTGTCATGCCAACAACTGGTTTTTAAATAATTGTGTTTAGTGCCGATGCAAAGACCCTATAAGTGAATCAATATTAACGCCAAAATATGCAATCTTTAGTGACCTGACAACAGTATCGTAACTATATCCCTTCTTAATAAGTCTATTTAAAGGTTTTGTTAGCTTCAGAGGTGAATACTGACATTTTTGTGCTTTATAAAGAATATTTCCATAAAAAATTGGATGTGAAATACCTGAACGTATAAGAAGTCTGCATGTTGAGCTATATTTACGAATGATGTCCCTACACCGATGATAAAATTTAGTAAATATTTTGACTAGTTTGTGATATCGAAAACCCTGGTGTAATAATTTTTCAGTAATACATAAATTTCTCTCGTTAAAATCTAAAACATTGTTACATACACGAGCGAATCGTACAAGTTGAGATATATAAACACCGTAAGATGGTGACAAGGGAACGTCACTATCTAAAAATAGATAATTAACGATAGGAAATGAAAAATCATCTCTTTTATCATATATTTTAGTATTAAGCTTTCCATTAATGATATAGATATCAAGATCGAGGAAAGGGCAGTGGTCATTGTTAGTATTAGCTTTATTTAAAGTAAGTTCAACAGGATAAATTTCTTTAGTATACATACTGAAGTCGTCATTATTGAGAGCCAAAATATCATCCAAATATCTAAAAGTATTATTAAATTTGTGTATCAGATGTTGTTTCGATTTTTGTCATAAATTGTAACTCATAGCAATACAAAAAAAGGTCCGCAATAAGTGGTGCACAGTTAGTCCCCATTGGAATTCCGATAACCTGACGATATACGGAATCTCCAAAGCGAACAAAAATGTTATCTAGTAAAAATTCAAGGGCATATATAGTATGTTTGATTTGTATTATTTGAGATATTTTTGGTAAGGTTTTTATAACATGTCAGACGGAAACTCATTTGAATCCTAGCTGATGATTTTTTTAGGTTAATATACCCACTCGGTATTAGTTTTCAATGAACTTGTCAGTTTAAACACCTATTTTGAACAGTTGTCAACGGGCGATGATTTTATAGATGTTTCCTTTATACTTTAATTTCACCTATAAATGTGTGTTGCTGATTGTTGGCTAATTTGCACCAAAATCTAAATGTCGAAAAAAAATAATACATATTTATATAGTATGATTCATTTTTTTGACATACATTTGTATGATATTGATAGACAATAATGAAGGTTGTGCGAACGTAAATTTGATTAACTCCACTACCATATGTTATAGGTTTTTGAATATTTTTGTTTAACATCTGGGTTTTTCTATAGTTGGAGGGTTTCTCGAATATTCTTAATAAGTATTGATAATATGGAATATGATTGGTAAAGCAAAGCACATTACGATAAAATTAATTTTGATGTTTGAAAACGTATTCCATTTCAAGTTCAGGACAACAAGAAAGCCTTTTATGATTCCCGGGTAGAATAAAATTAAAGAAATTAATTTAATATACATTTTAAAAGGAGCAGTCCTGTCACTCCAGTTTTTTTTTTATTTTAGAATCTACAGAATAAACAGGAGATGTTAAATTTTACAACTGTCTTTTGATCGAGAAATCGAAAACAGTAAGATCATATATATTGACAATAAGATATTTACCTTTTCTATATTTCCAGCAAAGGCATACGCAGCAAACTAACGCCAAAGTCGCTATAAAAGTTCCTGATGTTAAAAGAATGTATCTTGAATCTGAAATTTGTGATGAATCACTGCTTAATACAACATTTAAAAACATGATTAAAGTCAAGTTATAATTTAGTGTGAACTAGTTAACAGTTACTGTGAGTTTTCCTAACCGGGTTATTTGTATATTATGTCATTTTGTTTTTCTATAATATTTTTTCTGCAGTTTCTGCAGATCTGATGATTAAAGCCATACACGAATGATTTTCCGACTTTTGTTTTAATGACCGTTGTACTACGTATGACAGGGTTGCGCGCTCGAAACTTGTGAAACCCAGTCAAATTCTGTACGTGCCTACCCAAAGTCATAGCCTGAAATTAAGTGGTTGTTGTTTGAAGTCTGTCATAAAACAAAATAGTTTTTGGTTAATTTGTCAATGAATAAATAAGGTCGTTGGTTTTTCCGCTTGGTTTACACTTTGTCACGTCGATCCTGTTTATAGCTTACTATTTGGTATAGATTTTGCTCATAGTAAAGGGTCATACAGGGCCTTAATATGCAAAACACAGTCATACTTCATAACATTATCAGAAACAAATCTGTTTAGTCTTCGCTGAATGTTTATAAGATATTTATCATGAAATTATTATACTTAATCTTCTGCTAGAGACATACCGTCTTTTTCGTCATCTTTATCTGGAAAATATAGAAAAAAAAGTATTTGTTGTATAGTTAATACACTGAATGTTCAAATAATATTTCGCTATACACAGAACAATTTGTTCACAATGAATTTAAAATCATCGCTGGTGTATTATTGGCTTGTAAATAAATATTTCAGCTTCATTTGAATAAGTGTTAATGCGATCAATGATTAAATCTTTGTTGGAGATGAGTTACGTTGCGATCAGCAAGTACAGTGGTTGAAATGGATGTCAAATGACCACTAACGTTTCCAGACAAAGTGTATTGCTTTTAATGAGAATATATCAGTTCTAGATTACGTTTTAGTATATATTAATAACATTTGAGAACTAGCATAAATTCGATGGACATACATTTGACAGCGAATGCACTACAAATTAAATGTGTTACCTGGTCAATAACGTTCAGGAGGCACGCTCGCCTTAAAATACAAATTTATGAAGCCGTACAAGTCAATATTCAACGTTTAAGTTGTAAGGATTGGAACGAGTTTGAACATAAAGAGAGCTACAGATATGTTTTAGATGAATAACTTTGACAGCGAATTTTTTCTAGCAATTCAATGAACAATTAAAACAATTATTATTATAATATTTGAATTGCCATCAACATAGCACATAGTGAACAGAACCACATCGAAAGTAAATGAAAAACCGAAGGCATTATAAATGGGATAGTACTGACATGCCTCAAAGATGTTGTGCGCTTTAGATAAGACCATATATCTATCCTGTAACCTGTTTAAAATGGGTTGCAAGTCTAACGTTTTAAGTTTAATATGCTCATCTTATGAGCTAATAAAGAAAGTAATGCAAATATTGTTTACATGTATCAAGTGTATTGGAAATAAGAAATCTATGGATTTCAAAGCTATTTGATAAAAAATTTTGAGTATCATAAGTTTAGAAACGCAAAATATAACCATGGTATCTTTGTTTTTGTCTTTTTTTTTTTCTTTCATCTTTTTGAAGATGTGTGTTTGATTGAAGCAAAACTCGTCTTTTATGATCCTTTAAACGCCAAATATAATTTTTTTTTGAAAGAACCAGGAACCTTGCTGTTTATGAAAACAAACCTTTCAACTGTGCATATATGCTTTCATAATACACATTGTTCAAGATTAAATTGAATTATGAAATAATTCATTCGTATAGGCTGCTAATTGAAAAGACAATTAGATAAAGTGTTTAATCAGAACAAATCTTATAGAACTAATACTTTTCCATCATATCAGCTGTCTCCGATCAATTGTATTAAAAGACACAATTTTAATAATAATTAAAAAGTTTTGAAACTTTACGTCCACACAGAAGTATACTCTAAATTTCTAAATTAAAAAACTAACATAACTAACATACTACCTTTTGTTTTCAGTATGTTGACATTTGCCTCATGCAAGTTACCGCCGTGGTGACATGACCAATTTCCATTAAATTGTTTATCTATTGTCCCTGTTACTATCATAACGGTTTCATTTTTATGAGGGTACTGTTCTATTTGTGCATAATCGTGTATAGGCTTACACTCTGGAGATGGATTAGGAACAATACAATATGCAATCTCAACTCCGTGGTTGTTATAGAAACGTACTGGTAAATGTAAATCATCAATCTTGCAGATGAATGTTATTTGATTACTATCTACATTCAATTGGAGACACATCTTAATAGAACAAGACAACACTCCTGCAAATAAGCATACTATTTTACTATCAACATGGTTTCATCTATTTGCGATTAAACATATCACTTGTCTGTGACTAAGCTCGTACACAAACATAATTGTTTTCATTTTTATCGTTCAATTTTATTTCATTAATAGAAATTCTCATAAATACATAAAATTATTGCTATAAATGATTATATAGTTTTCAAAATGGCATTATGAGAACTGTTAAACCTATATATGCCCATAAATAAAGTCCACTATGTCGTTGTTTTTTTGTTATTAATATTCACCAAATTCCTTGAATTATTTTTACAGCAGGTGCAGTTAATAATCTGATCAGTAATACAAATATAGAAATTTAAGCTTATTTATTGTTTCAGCAAGGATTGCGATTTTCTCTGCATTTCTCTGTTTTCACCCATTTGGTAATCTTTATGATATACTTTTAGTCCATTTTGATTTTCATTTTTTTCTCTCCAAATATTTAAGAGTTTCTAGCCAAATGAAAACAAAAAGATAAATAATTAATGAAGAGGGTCTCAATTGGTTAAAATTTGAACAATTGGACAGTTAAAAGCTTGTACAGATGGAATTGTGAAAGGATATAACCAATTTGTGAGATGCTTCATGAATCAGCTACTTACAAAACCAAACCAAATTAAGATGACAGAGAAGTGTAAATGAATTTCCTATTAATAATAGTTCCACACACAAGATGATTGACAGTTGCTGAAAAACCATTTGGATTTTTACTAAATAATTTGATGAATGCTCAAAGGCATTGAAACGCTAAGGTGTCCCCCCAAAAAAGAAGAAAAATTGCATATGCCATCAAGAATATTATGCGAATTAAGAAAACATATGCTTTATTCAAGGAATTTGAAAAGTGTATAAAATAATTACCAATAGGAAAAAGTTTAGTTAATGTTGACTACAATTATACGAAAAAAGCTAAGAGGTAAAGCGAATTTGTGTAAAGTAGCATTCTTATTCTTATTTGCAATAACATTATCCTTTAGTTTCTATAAACGATCAAAAAGCTGTAGTTTGTATACAATTGCATCTCCAAATAGCTTGAACATAATTGTTACAACATAGCCAGAACCGAATATCTTTTTTAAATGAATCAGCTGGAGCGTGCATATGTGATGAGGCAGCAGAAAGTTTCCCCGTGCTTGAGGTGTATGCTCTTCTGCATTTCTAAAGTTATGGTGTATTCTTGAGATAACTTTTCTTAGCTTATGTGTGCCACATCATTCACTCAATTTATGGCCAGTTTGTGTACTAAAATTTTAATAAGACGCTCACCACCTATTTTTGGCCCCCTTTCCTGTCCACTTCAAATTTTTCACTTTCTAACATTTATAGGGGCGGGATCAATATACCGCTATTTACACATCAGACCGTACTGGTTACCGGAATTTCAATACACAAAACCAGGTACTTCATTTCTCAGAAACAGGCAATATATGCCCTCAATTTTAGAATTCATTACGCCAAAAAGAATCACACATGGGCAAGTACAAAATACTATGATTTAGTTGAATAATTATTTATTTTAACATTATAAGTAATTTAAACAGTTACTATTTATAACATGTATAACATTGTCCTGCCTTGGACGAAGATGTCTGATTTTTCATCCACTTCAGAAATATACAGGGCACAGAACTTCACGGATCGGTTCGTGTGCTACACCAGTTACATACACCTGGAGATAGTATACTGACAATATATTATGTCCCAGCTTTAAGAAGAAATAGTTCACCACAACATAAATCTAAAAAAAACGATAGTTCACGTAAGGCCAAGCAATACGTCATTGGAATGCCATTTCTACATAAGGAAATGCCCGTACCAAACCAGGAATATGAAAGTTTATGGAACGCCACAGCTGTCTGATGTGGTACTCTGATATTACGTTATGTTGTTTTATTATTACTTGATGATATTTTGTCTTTACGTAATATGGTTGTGACATTACGTAATGATGTTTTGATATTACTCAATATGGAATAGTCGTTACTTAATGATATTTCGATATTACATGATATGGTTTCGTATGGACTTGATATTGTTTTGTCATTACTTAATGTGGTTTTGTCATTACTCGATGTGGTTTCATCAATATTTAATGTGGTTGTGTTATTAGGCAATGTGGTTTTAACATTACTTGATGTGTATGTGGCTTAACGTAATGTAGTTGTTTTATTACATGATGTGGTTTTGTGATTTCGTAATGATGATTTGTCAATTCCTTATATGGCTTTAAAATTACATAATGATGTTTCAAAATTTCACGATTTTACACTACATGATGTGTTCGTTCCAGTATTTGATGTGGTTCTGTCATTTTTTTGATGTGGTTATCGCATTACTTGATGAGGTAAAACCACGTGACTATTTTGGAAAAACTAGTTCTATTTTTAAAACCGATTTCCATGTTTTATTTGCCTCGAATGAGTGTGGCAATTCATCGAGTTAGAATTCAAATTAAAGTTCGGGTTACTGTTCGAATTAAAGTTCGAGTTGGTCTTCGATTTAAACTTCGAGTAATTTTCGATTTCGAGTTAGAATTCAAGTCATAATTAGAATTAAAGTTCGAGTTAGCATTGAGTTTCGAGTTGAACTTTGAGTTTGAGTTACCTTTTGAGGTAGAGTTCGAGTTAGACTTCGAATTTGAGTCTCATCTAGATTAAGATTTTGAAATTGGAGTTATTTAATATGAGTTCATATTTAAATTTTCTATCGCGGATCAAGAGCTTTTGCTAGGGCTTCCGAAAAAAGGGTTAGGGGTATGCGTACAAAAGATAAACAATGTTACAGTATACAAACCACCACATAGAAATCGAAATAAAGTTAGATGTGGTATGATTGCCAATGAGACAACTATCCACCAGAGTTTAAATACAGTGGATGTAAGCAGTTAAAGGCACCCGTAACTAATAACTAAACAACTTACGAAAAACAAATATGACACACATGAATCAACGACAACCATCGAATTACAGGCTCCTGACTTGGCACAGGCACATAAAGAATGTGCACGTGGTGGAATTAAACAGGTATGTGAACGCTAAACCCGAACCCTACTATGAGTGAATAGTGTAACAGCACAACACAAGAATAAACTGTAAGAAACAGCTGCGCCATGAGCGCATGATACGCCCGTCGCTTTTTCAAAGAATAAAGTTCAATAACTTCTCAATGTTATATCAGAAACTTATGAAAAACTAAAGGGAGGGTATCTTTATAGACATGAACCAGTCACCAAAGCACTTTGAAGATATTGTCCGAAACCCATTTTTTATGAATAATATCCCATAACTCGGAAATGTAAAATCTAAAATTTATAAAAATTAAAAGGAAGCTTGCGTCAATAGGTATAAACAAATCACCAAAGGTTCATGAAAACTGCTGAAAGCATTTTTGAGTTATTGTCCAAAAACTGGAAAATCCCCCTTTTTTAATGTGGTCTTCCCTTAAATAAATTGAATAAAACCCCATAACTTGGAAACGTAAAAACAAAATTTTATAAAAATCGAAAGGGAGCTCACGTCAATAGATATAAACAATTCACCAAAGTGTCTTGCAAATTGGTGAAAGTGTTTTCGAGTTATTGTGCGAAAACTGGAAAATCCCCCTTTTTTAGTGAATAAAACCCAATATCTCGAAAACGTAAAATCTAAAATTTATATAAAACGAAAGGGAGCTCACGTCAATAAATATTAACACTTCACCAAAGTTCATGCAAATTGGTTAAAGTGCTTTTGAGTTATTGTCCGATATGTTGTCGACGGACGGACAGACGGACGAACAGACGGACGGACGGACGGACAGATGGACGGACGGACAGACGGACGGACGGACGGACGGACAACGGTATACCATAATACGTCTCGTAAACGGGCGTACAAAAATCAGATGCAATTGGCTTAACTCTATAGATCGGTATGACTGGGCAATATAAACCCATCAAAATCCTGGGGTGATCTCGGGTGCTCCGGAAGAGTAAGCAGATCCTGTTCAACGTGTGGCACCCGTCGTGTTATTCGTGAAAGTACAAACCCAGTGATTTGGTCTTATTCGGTAGGTTACATTCGAGGAAAAGAGGACCGGATTGTGGTTACGACAACTGGAACATATTCGTCTTCACCTGTGAAACAGATATTCCAAAAAGTTTAGTTTTCTTTCAATTTAGTGCGAGGTATATCAGAGAATGAAATTTATAAAAATATATATTAAAATATTGATATTCGTATATGTCCAAATGATAATAAACGCTAAAAAAAATCGGAGAATTCTTATTTCATAATTGATGCTTTGTCGCTTAGTCCGATTCCCCCATTTCCCTGTAACTTTAGTGTGATAGTTGATTTAAAGTGTCTCATTTGTTGACAATAAAGTACATGTCATTTGATGTGTGTCCAGCCTGCGATATTAATGTCGCGGAAGTGAGACACAACAAACCTATATTCCGTCGTCGGCGTCTTCATCATTTAGATCGTTAGGTTACTCGTTTAAATTGTTTTTACATTTGTCATTTCTGGACCTGTTATAGCTTACTATGCGGTATGGGTTTTGCTCATTGTTGAAGACCATACAGTGACATATAGTTGTTAACTGCTACGTCATTTGGTATGTGGTGGAGAGTTGTCTCATTGGCAACCATACCACATCTGCTTATTTTTATATAAGTTTGAGTTGCATTAAATATTACCAAATTAAACTATTTTGTCATGATATATTTTTAAACCTACATGAATTGTTATAAAAATTGTATAGGAGTTCATCTTCTATATCGAGATAAAGCATGTACAGAAAAACATTTTTTTTTTTAAATTTTTTTTTTTACCGATAAATGGACGTTTTACAGTCAACACTACACTTTTACAATGACAGCAGCAATCTCAGGCGAGACACAGGGTTCCGTGGTATTCTTCACGAATTTATTGTAATACTGCTTCCATTTGAGAACTAAGGGAAAAAAACGGCAGGACCGGGATATCCCCCGTATGTCCGAAATATTGATATTTTTTTTGTACTTTTTTTCTTATATTTTCCTGCCGTTCCCCTTTTTCATACCAAATAACTCTGAGCAACAACTCAAACTTTAATTTGAACTTGAACTCAAAGGATAGCGACGCTCATCCGAAGCACATTAAACAAACGACATAATTATGGAAATCAGGCTAAAAATAGAACTATGTTTTTTACAAAGTGGTGCCGTGGCTTTACCTCATCAAGTAATGTGATAACCACATCAAAGAATGACAGGACCATCAAATATCGGAACAAACACATCGTGTTGTGTAAAATCGTCAAATTTTGAACCATCATTATGTTATGTTAAAGCCATATGATGAATTGGCAAATCGTCATTACGAAATAACAAAACCACATCATGGAATGAAACAAATGCATAACGTTAAACCACATACACATCAAGTAATGTTAAAACCACATTGCCTAATGACACAACCACATTAAATAATGATGAAATCACATCGAGTTATGACAAAACCATATTATGTAATGAAAAAACCATATCAAGTCAATACGAAACCATATCACGTAAAATCGAAATAGCATTAAGTAATCATATCGTCGAATCAGACACAACTGACGAATTGTGTTTCGAATCAGTGGTCGATGACTACATTATATTAACCCTGCAATAGGATGTCCTATCATACATTAACAACCGAGCAGTTATTGCTCTGCTGTAATTGCATACTATATGCTTTAGTCTCCGCCTACTACCGAATTACGTTTGTGTACTGCTTGCTCATGACGTATTGTGTGCACTTACGTGACCTATAGATTTGTGTATTGCATAAAAAATAAATTAACAAAAATACCGAGCTCTAAGGAAAATTCAAAACAGAAAGTTCCTTACATCAAACAAATGGAAAACAACTTTTATAGAACGCCACAGCTGTCTTATGTGGTACTCTGATATTACGTTATGTTGTATTATTATTACTTGATGATATTTTGTCTTTACATAATATGGTTTTGACATTTCATTTCTATCAAAACGTTACTTACTATTTTCTTTGTTCCAGTGATCAACTGATCATTCAACCCTTTCTATGACAGTTAACATTAGATTGCTTCAACTTTTCGTAGAAAAGGGGACGACTACTCGATTAAGAAAATGGGAACTACCAAACCCTATGGTTGCAAAGTCCGCCAGTTATTTAAGTGAGATGCGTGTTGCCCACTGGTTAGTTTTAATGTAGTGTTTTTTGTCCTCTCGTCGTCTTTTTTTTGCCATGTCGTTGTCAGTATATTTTCTACGTATGAACTATCAAATTCCTCCTGGTAGCTCCCGCCTATTTTTTTGGTATCATAGGTATTTTGCAGTTTGGTGAATTTAATGAATATTTTCCACTCTTTTTTTCGACGAAGAAGCAGCCATTATCATCGTCAATATACATAACATCTCATGTTAGGGTCAGATAATTTGAAATCGTTCCGATACTTATCAAGTTATCCATTGAAAAATTTCCATTATTTAAATTTAATATAATCTTTTAATATTGAATTTTACCATTTACCAATAAATAAATTCGATTAGAAAATAAGTTCAACTTACTTTTCCTCAATTTATTTTTTTGCATTTACGCGATAGGTTTATTAAAATGCACAATTAGTAGCATTTTAGAGTTACGCTGTTAAGTTATTTATCATATTTTTAAATACATCTTAAAATTAATATATCTAGTTTATTATTCGTACAAATATTGACAGAAAGTTATAATACATAAAAACCACTCACACTTTAACAGGCCAAACATTCATACCCTATGCTACACATTTAGTACTTGAGGTGTTACGAGATGAAGTAACTATTTCAGGGTGTACACAGAATGAAAGAGAACTTTAAAGAATAACCAATATTTAGAGAAAATTGGAGTCTACATAATTGTAATAAGAATTAATAGCTAGTTATTTGTAAAACCTAGAATTAACTTGACACGTGCGAATTCAGATGATAGCATGAACAGCAGGGTCGTACCTTACAATGCAAAGTGACGGGCGAAGCGTTATTCGTTTTGATTTTCAAAAAATCATGCATGAATATGTTACGAAGCGGTTGATTGCCTGTGGGACAAAACGTCAAACATGAAATGACGTCATTACAGTAGTAGTTCAAATAAACTAGGGTCTACTCAAAGACCGATAGCACCATTTAAAAGTGACTTATAGACAAAAAAACAATCCTGGACAGACTTACCGGTTCTAACCATTCCTGTAAGAAGTAGCACTGCTAACAGTATCGAAAATGCCTTCATCGTGATGTTAGATTCTGAAAAAAAATCTACATGAGAGTAACCTTATACGAACATTGAAAGTATATCGTGTCATTAATCCTTACACGGAATACTATACTAATAACATTATCAGTAAGTGACATATTATTTGTTTGTTTTTTTTTAAATTTATTTACAAGACTGGATTGAACTACTGCCGCCTTATTCTATCTTGATATATTCAATATTTGAATTCATTCATTACAAGTTTATTTTTTTTCTTTATCATGTGTTTTTTTCTTTATTTTCAATGCAGATATATTTATAACCATGGTACACATTATAAACCGCTATTTTTATTTTTTATAAATGCTCTGATTTTGTGCTTTAAACTGAACGTTTTTAAGTGATAAGGAACTGTCCGTTTTGAATTTTCCTTGGAGTTCGGTATTTTTTCTATTTTACTTTTTATTACACAGAATTAAGACAAGCCTTTTTTCGTGTATTAGTGTAATAAGGAAGACACTATACATTAGTGTAATTGAATTCAATGTTTACTCAGTTACCAGTGAATACAACTGAATAGATACCCAACGAAGCTTATTGACATCTATTATGTATATTTGAATCATTTACAATGTAATTATTGTGACATTTAACGTGTTGTCAAGTACGGGAGATTATTTTACGGTTAGTCAATGAAAACGAAGGTATTTAGTTCATGGGTAAATATTTCATTAACTTAGATTTACTTGCATTATGAAACATATATTCATTAGTTCCTTAGCTGTCATGTTTGTGCAATTTGTACAATATTTAATTAAAAATGCAGCACACACAGATTGGAACCTTGAAGGTTTATTTGTTAATCAAATATGAAAATTGTTAATTTCAAAAGACCCTTAACTCAAGAATGGCAGCTGCTGGTGTAGCTATTTATATATTGAGATAAAAGGATGTTTACGTCTCGTCATGTTTAGGGGACAAAATACATTTACCAAAAGCAGTCATAGTCTAGTGACATTTGGCGATCTACATGTTTTGAAAACATTTATTTATAATTCAAGTTCATAAATTAAGATATGAAAATTTACATTGTCTATTTGAAACGAGCAAAAACAAACCTTTAAACCTTATGAAAATATATTTTGTATACATGTATGACGTCAAAAGTTGATATTCTTAATCTTTGTTATAACTATATCTTGTATACATGTTAGACTTCAAAATTTATTAATCTTAACCGTACTGAATGTTTCATTTTTGCATGTTTAACTTTGACATTTTCATATTTGAAGTCAAATAAACAATATTTTGAATACATGATAACTTTATCTTGTATACATATAAGACTTCAAAAGTTGAAATTCTTCGTCTTTGTGAATGTTTTATTTGGTACGTTTAATTTTGACATTTTCTTATTTGATGACAAATAAACAATATTTTGAATACATGATACTTTATCTTATATACATATAAGAATTCAAAAGTTGATATCCTTAATCATTGTGGATGTTTTATATTGGAATACTGAACCATTTATTTCAATTTTACAGACAAGCAGAGGAGAAACCAATGTAAAGGAGTTATGTTCCTTGATACTTTGAGTTCCAGAACGGAACTTGGTGACCCCACAACCACCACCACTCACCCACCCCATCCTAGCCCCCAAAAATAGATCTAGAATCAAACTAATTGTTTTTCTGAGCCGCCCAAAATATGCTCCCCTTTAAGCTAGAATTGCAGAATGAAGATAATAAAATAGTACGTTTTAAATTAAAATACAAAGATGCAATAAAAAACCACAAAGAGATAAACCTTTGAAAATTAACAAAATAACCATTACACAAAACGGAGTACAAAGATAAGTATCAAGGAGTCAACAGAGCTTTTTTTGTACACATGTACACAGGATCTATTTTGAATAAAATAATCAGACAACCAATGGTGGGTAGCATTGGAAGAGAAAGTTAGGAATTAGGTAGCAACAATTCACTTGCAAACTCAACATATAGCCAAACGAAAATTACCAAAAGAGGATACACTGAATTATCATAGGTCTGTTCTATGTTCCAAGAAATTTCAATCACAGAGGAAGAACTGGATCTTCCTTAAATGTATTGGATACCTTAATTACATAAATGTCAATACAATCAACTTTGTATTGCTGGATCTTCCAAGTGCTTCACTAAACCTCTTTCTAAATTTTTTGACATATTTTTTTCCCATTCCAAACAAAAAGACAAAATAAAAGAATTGAAGATGCTTTGTTTCATTACAAAATGGTTACCATAGATACAAGTTTTCTGTCTTTGGGAGTGACAAATCGTACTTTGTAAAAAAAAACACTATGATTCAAACCAAAATTTCACTCAAATTGACATTATCAATATAATTGGTTTCTTGCTTTGGAATCATATCTCTAAAATTTTGAGGACGGATTTTTCAACCATCAACATGAACAATAAACATTCTTATTTGAACCAACTGTGCTCCTCTTGCGAAGTATATTTTTTCCTATTAATGTTGTTATTCTTGCCGACTTGTTTCAGATGAGACAAACTTCATACTTACTCTTCTTAGGAAAAATTAAGAGATACTTATTATTAGAATTAATTGCGCATGATAGCATTTTAACAAAAAAAAATAGACAGTCCTGTTTTATGTAGCAACATCCAGCAGTGCATGCATTATGTGCATATGGAGTATGTATCTCCCAGTTGTTCATTCCAGAGTTTTCATTTTCTATAATGATTTCCTTGAAAGTGGGTTCCTACTTAAACCAAGAGTTTCAGGTGGCGAAGTTGAAATCATCCTTACACACACCGATGAATATTTTTATTGATTTTTTGTCTATATGTGAATTTCTTACCTCATTTGTTAAAAAACACATAATGTAGTATATTAAAAATACGAGAGTCATAAAATATAACAAAAGAAAAATTATAAACAAGAAAATATCTGTCTGTACCAATAGTCCGGATGCGCAAAGAGTATAGTTTTTCTGAAAAAAAAATTTTCAGGTCTCAAAAAGACAGTTCCCTTTGTTTTTAATTCTTTGTACACAATAGATCAATCAAGAAATGACTATTTCTCAGAGTAATAATATGCGCATTAAGCGACATTTACATATTCGTGTTATAAATAAAACGTACAAATATAACAAGTTACCATGACTTTTCATTACGGAAGAACATTGCTTTTTTAATGAAAATTCTCTGTATAAGATAATCTAATCTACTTACCATATCTTGTAAAATCTTTCCTTTGAAGACATTGGTTCTGACAAATCCACTCCACTAACTTAAAAAAACCACATGTCCATATTTATCGAGTTAAATACCTAAACTATATATAGATATATACATAGAAATTAGTACATGTTTATACGTGCTAGCGATATAGAGGGCTGGATATCTTTTTCGAACAGTTTAGATATTTGATATAGTTCTAGTCTGTCATGCTTTAACTATCATTTCAATAAACAAAATATTATGTGATAGTTATTAAAGGTTCATGGTTACACTTTAATGAATATTAGATTTTATTCATATGCAGTCAACCATCGGATTATTAAAGAAATATAGGAATATATCTCTGTCGGGGGGCTGTTTTCCCGTGGATACTGTATGTATATATTTATATAACTATGTTTAACGGCAATAACTCTGTAGTCGCTTTTAAGATTAATATTTCCTATTTTTTTAATGTTTGCGTTACTTAATCAAGCGTTGGACATCATCAAGGACTTTATCAAATAATACATTCAACATGTTCAACGTATATGCAATCAATTTAAGAAACTCCTTACCAAATTAAATGTCATTATGAAGCGTTTGAACTTCACTCGAGTTCTGGAGAAAGTTAGACATGAATTTGGTATTTTCACTAGCGAATTCATTTTGAATAGCATATAGTACTTATGTATCAACATCGAAATCATTGCCATAAAAAAAACTTGTTGGTGGTTCAAATTGTATTGTTTTGAATTTGACCGTTAGTTTCTCGTTTGAGTTGTTTTACATTTTTCATGCCGGGGCTTTTTATAACAGACTATAATACCCTATGGGTTTTCCAATGGTTTACGGCTGTATGTTGACCTATTATTGCTTGTATCAGTGTCGTTTGATCTATGGTAGTTAGTGTCTCTTTTGAATACAATTCCTTATTTTTATATTATCGTGCAAAACTTTAGACTTTTTAACAAGAAGTAAATTTATGAATCTGCAATCAATTTGGAAATTGTTTTAGACGTCGCCTATATATAAATTTAAATTTATAATCTATATCAAAATAATATTTAGAAAAACGTTGTGAATTCTTTTAAAAGTAAGGTTTTACGGTTAATTCTACTCCCCGAATGATCTCAAAATTAAGTTTGCACACTTTGGGAATACGTTTTCAGAGAGCAAATCGTAACCTACACAATCGATATCTGTTTTTGTTGAAATTCTACCACATAATTTACATGGTTCTTCTTTAAATTTGGTTTTTTTTGCACACAAAAAAGATTTATTGGAAATTTCGAAAAAGATCTTCATTGATCATGCTAAATAAAAGTTCAGACGTACATAAAAACGATGTTGCTAAATTGTGAATTTTTAACAAAAAGCATGTTTTTACCTCTTTTTCCACATACCCCATCATAATCCCCTAAAAGTAACCCAAACATTTAGTTTTGACATCGCAATAAATTTTAAATACCATATTATAACAAATATGGTACATACGTGTACATCATGAACATGATGAAATTCTGGCCTAAAATGGTGCTCTCAAATTTGTTATTTTTAACATTAGAATTTTTTTAAAACCTCAATGTATATCAAAATTTCCCAAAATTATAGTTATTTTAATTATGCATACAACATGTACAAATTATGGAAATCTGTTGGGGCAATCTGGACGTTAGTCTCAGATGCCTGAATTTTTTTATCAGTTGTTATTGGCTCTAAACTAGCTGTCAGTGACTGCGAGTACTTTCAGATCAGTACTTAGTGTCTTTTTGTTGTGGGTATGTATAAGTACCCTGCCACGTACACTCTGTGTTTTTGTTAGATGTATTTCTATTTGTATCCCTCTGATGAGTTAAGCCTTTTTCAACTGATTTTTAATCTTTTGTTCTTATGTTGTACTGTTGCACCACTGTCCCAGGTTAGGGGTAGGGTTGGCGCTTTCAAACTAGTTTAACCCCGCCACATTCTGTATGTGCCTGTCCCAAGTCAGAAGCCTGTAATTTAGTGGTTGTTGTTTGTTGCTGTGTATCATATTTGATTTTATTTCATTATTTTGTACATATTTTTATATTAACAACCAACATAGAACTGCTGACAGACGGGTAGACTAACAGACACACATAAAGATAGACAGACAGAGAGAGTGTAAACAATGTATTATTCATGTTATTGTAGTATTTGTATACAATTATTGTTCACATTTATGTGAAACAAATTCCGATACCGGTTAAGAATTAAAAAAACATATTGGCATTCTAAACATATGTTTACATGTACAAAAATTTTAGTAACTAGCCAAGTATTTCGCTAAAATGTATGCTATAGCATCCATCCTGAGATACCAAGACTATATTTTAGAGACAGGTACTACACGCTATTCAACAAAACCTAATTACTGGCACACTTTTCTTAATATAGATAAGCATGTTTGCGACGTTTAGTTTTTTTTATTTATATATATATAATAGTATGTCAAAGAAACATCATATTAGGTAACACGTTGACTGATTTCGTAAACTTGTGCATGAAATAAAAAAAATGTGCAAAGAATTAAAAACTCAACAAAGATACAGGCTTTTAATTTGGTACTCATCAGTGGCGCGCGAATCGTTCCAGTTGAAAGGCCAAATCTATTTGAAGTTGAATTGATGAGCATTAAAATCGAAAATTTTGAAAATTTTGCCAAATACGGCTTAGGCGTTCTATGCCTGAGGGTAGAAAAACCTAAATGCTTTTAATTACTCAACAAAGACTGGACTTGTGATAATCTCGAGAATGAAACGTCCGCCAGCAGTTGCATCGACCCGGTGGTTGTATAATTTGGTACGCCAGATGAGAGCGTTTTCTATGTAAGATTCATCAGTGGCACTGGAATAAAAACAGATGAAAGGCCAAATCAAATCATTAACTTTAATTTAGGATTAATTGCTTACGCCATACGATATAAACAGCTAATGTAGTTTGGACCTATCTAATATAAAAAATTCACCATCAAGAATACTGATTATCAATTCAGTTTTCTAATGTTAAATGAAAACAAAACACATCGCCCCTTATTAAATTAATTTTCTACGATAATATTTACATTTTCCGTAGTACATTCCATCCTGAGTTCGATGCATGGTTTTGAAATGAAAAAGACTAATGGCATCTTTTTAAAAATGTCAGGAAAACAGTGCACAACTACGTTTAATGCCTTCATTATATTGGCGTACCCAATTAAAGCTGATAAACATGTTGGTAATTGAAAAATTGATATTATCTACATTTTAATGACAAATAATGTATTCTAAAGTACGAAGTAAACTGATTTCCGTATCTATATACGATTTTCGATTGAAAGAGAAATATTGCCATTCTGATGATATATGACTCTTTGTGGAGAGCACGGACTTGGGCTCGGGCGCAGTTAATGTTAAAATTACGATTCGGTCCCAATGCTTAAAATCCCTCGATCCTTTGTGGGTTGATTTGGCATACATAAATAAAATACAAAAATAAGTAAGCAATGAACGAGGTTGTCAAATGAGGTATATGCTTTTTTGTGCTTCTTTATGAAATATTTGTTTATGTCTGTTTGTTTAAATCACGCATCGTTGTCAATATAATGGAGTTTGATGCATCTGTCATACAAGTGAGAGGTTTAGCGCTATAAAACCAGGTTCAATCCATCATTTTCTACATAAAAAAATGCCTGTACCAAGTCAGGAATATGACAATTGTTGTCCATTCGTTTGATGTGTTTGTGCTCTTGATTTTACCATTTGATTAGGGACTTTCCATTTTGAATTTTCATCGGAGTTCAGTATTTGTGTGATTTAACTTTTTCAATGTAGAAGAATTTAAAACTTCATTCTTAAGACCTACCGTTTAGTATTTACGGCATACCACCACCACATTACTGACTGCTTTGTCGGCCGGTAGAAACAAAAAACCGCTGTGCGAGTACTTGAAGTTTCTTATTCCAGAAATAGGCGTATTATTTTCTCTTTTATATATTTCAAATTTTTTTTCAAAATGCGATATTCGAATATCCACAACATTCATACATATATAAATAAGAATCAAGAGATTTTTTCTAGATTACACCAATTGTTTCATTACGATGAAAGAGCATCTTTTATGACCTGATAACACTGTTTCAAATCTATTTTAGATGCAGGACAATATTTTGGTCTCCCGGTCCTGAACGATATTAAGGTCCCCCGTAATAACGTGGCCGTAGGGATCATAATTAAAATTCGACGATTCATAATCTAAAATGGGAGGAGTATTATTTTCTACACTGACGTCTGATTTACTGACGTGTGATTAAAAATTAAACTTCTGCTGGTTTTTTTGTATGTATACAAAATAATAGGTGGTTCTGTGTTATCAAAAAAGAGGTATAAAATTTTGAAAGGTAAAGTCATTAAATATACTTGATAAGTTCTCTGGTAATATATTTAATTTTCAGAAAATGCCGTTTATGATTTTCAGGTTTATCGATACGCGGGAATAGCCTATGGTGGCAAAAAGCTGTAATTATACGCGAATATTCATAGAGTGGACTGAAGAACTCCTGTAACTTGAGAGTGTGAATCGTCGAATTTTATGATCCCTATGGCCATGTTATTACGGGGGATCTCAATATCGTTCAAGACCGAGAGGTTAAAAACTTTTTGAAAAAGGATCAAAATATCGTCCTCCATCTAAAATAGATTGGAAATAGTGTCATCAGGTAAAAAACGACGCTCTTTCATCGTATTGTAAAAATTCTTGTAATCGGGGAAAAAATGATAAAAAAAATCTCTTGATTCTTATTTAAATAAATGTATGAATGTTGTGGATATTCGAATATCACATTTTGAAAATAATTTTGAAATAAATAAAAGAGTACATAATACGCCTATTTTTAAAATAAGAAACAAACTTCAAGTACTGGCAAAGCGGTTTGTGTTTGTATTGGCCGAAAAAAAAGCCAACAATGTGGTGGTAGTATGCCGAAAATATTACACGGACGTTCTTCATGTTCTAAAGAATGAAATTTTTAATTCTCCTACATTCAAGTCCGTGCACTCCACAGACAGTCATATAGTAAACAATCATATCATAACCACATCGCAGGGTAAGGCCTCTTCTGAACATTTGAAGGTCCCTACTATGTATTACTTACCTAAATTTCACAAAACAACAGTGAAATATCGTTTCATCTCGGCCTCTAGTAAGTGTTCTACAACTTTTAACTAGTTCTTTAACTACTATCAAAGAACTTATCATTAACTTTTGTAATAAAACATATGAAAAATAGTGGAATTAACTATTGTTGGAGTGTAAAAAATTCTTTGGATGGTCCTTTTGATTCTATTGACAGTTTTGACTTTTGAACTCTTTACACTACACTTCAACACAATCTTATCAAACAAAAGTTTTCCTATTTGATTAAATGGTCGTTTGGTAAATCTGAATGCAAATATCACCGTGTAGAAAGCCACATGCGGAGTGTTGGATATGTTTGACACGGGGTGGCGGGTTTTGAAGCGGGGAAAAGCGATCAAGTAAGTAAAAGTATAAAAATTTGTTTTTCGAGAATGGTTTGCACCAAATAATGTATCGCATGGAAGGAAGATTTGGTTCGGAAGTTTGGTTGTAGCTGTAGGAAACTTATTTCAAACGGGATAGCACATCATAATTATCACGGAAACGTTGTTTATCGAGCCCGGAAATTCAAATACGATTCGGGTAAACTTGTCGATCCTTTAAATAAACTTATTCTAAAAGGTTACTAATTCAACACTATAATTAGATCTTTGATTATTGGTTTCATTGGTATTGATATTGATTTTGTTATCAGTAAATTAAAATCAAACTAAATATTATTTTCATATACATATGCACATTCATGGCTCTACAATCTGTATCTTGGCATTGCACAAGGTCATGTCTTTTCTCTGACTGTTAATGACGTCTTTAGACTAAATCCATAGGATGTTGGATGTGTACTGATTGATTTTTTAGTCTTAGATGATTGATTTGTTTTATTAGTTGTTATTGGCTTTGTACTAGCTGTCAGTTATTGCAAGCACTCTCAGAACTGTACTTAGTGTCTTTTTGTTGTGGTGATGTACAAGTACCCTGCCACGTCTATATTGTGTTCTTGCTAGATGTATTTCTGCTTTATATACATGTGATAAGTTAAGCACTTTTCATCTGATTTTAATAGTTTTTTTTTCTTATGTTGTACTGTAACACCAATGTCCCAGTTTTTCCCAGGTTAGGGGAGGGTTGGCGCCTTCAAAATAGTTTAACCCCGCCACATTCTGTATGTGCCTGTCCCAAGTCAGGAGCCTGTAGTTCAGTGGTTGTCGTTTGTTGCTTTTTCGTTCATTATTTTGTACATACGCAGGCCGTTAGTTTTCTCGTTTGAATTATTTCACATATGTCATTTTTTCCAAACTGTATTATTAATCTATAATATCAATATGTTTAACGAATGAGTTATCAATCTGTCACTGGGGGAAAAGTAAGACAGGAAAGTTGTGATAGGAACTACGGTTTTTTTCAAGAAAGGGCTTGGTTTTTATTGAAACAATAAATTCAAAATCGTTATGTAAAGTAACATTTCACCTTCGAAGAAATTACTGTCGATTTTCAATCGTGAACAATTTTTTCGTTTCCAAACTGAAAAATTGAGACAACACAAACCACAACTTAATCCAATTAAATGCACATCACCATCCCTTTACGACATTCTTGATTATCCTATGCATCATTCCTCTTTTCACCAGGAACCATTCCCCAGTTACGATTAACTTTTCATCATTACACCATCGAAAAGCTCACAGGGATTAATGGCTTCAACTTTTGCTTTTCCCTTTGACCTGCTCCTAGAGATAAAGTATTAAAAAGATACCCGTAATGTTAAATGCCTTGATGCTTATTTACAATTAAAGTTAGACAATCTGTCTTTGTATTCACAGTTTGCGAAGAAATAAAAAGTAAAATAACAAAAATACCGAACTTCGAGGAAAATTCAAAACGGAAGGTCCCTAATCAAATAGCAAAATCAAAAGCTCAAACACATCAAACGAATGGATAACAACTGTCATATTCCTGACTTTGTACAGGGAATTTCTTATGTAGAAACTTGTGGATTAAACCTGGTTTTAAAGCTAGCTAAACCTCTCACTTGTATGAAAGTCGCATAAAATTCCATTATATTGACAACAATGTGTGAACAAAACAAACAGACATAATGGGTAAAAATGTCAAAAATAGGGGTACAAGAGTCAACATTGTGTTATTTTCTTAATCACTAGTAAAACAAACAAATATGTCAATAAAGAAATACAGAAAGGCATATAGATAGAGCACATAAGCAAAAGAAAGACAAGAATACAAAAAAATTACCATAGCACAATAACACAATGACGGGATGTATAAGTACCGAGCCACGTATAACACTTTATTAAGATGATAAACAACGTCAGTATCAAGAATCTATGCTTCAAAACCACCGTGTATTATTTGTGAAGTTGATACGGAATATTTATCAACAAGGTCTTGGTATCTTCCGATGAACTTTTCTAGAAAAAGGACGAGACGTTCTTTGACATAACCATGATAACCCTGGTTCATCAACTTTTTGCTCAGACACTGATAACTTATCCAGTTCATCATAAAATAAACAACGGAATATGTTATTGTCATCGCTATTATTTACTTCATTGAAATGATTCTTTTTGATGTCTTACATTTTGTTTATTCTAGATGCTTTAAATGGCTTATTTTTAACTAATTTCAACTAGTTATATACAGGTATGAATTGAAAGGATGTTTTGTAGATTGGTGACAATTGTCGCTATGTTGAAAGAATGAAGCATGTTTTTTTGCTGATTTGCGCAATTTTAGGTAAATATCTTTTAAGTATTCAGACCAAAGACGCTTACATTTAAATGAAAAACAAATCATATGCTTAACTATCTAATAGATTAAATTCTTTCAATTAAATGAGTAAATATATTGAATTTCGAATATCGTATTTTTAAATAAATATCTTATATTGATTGCTAATTAAGATTTCTAGGCCATAATTTTAACGAAGTTATTATATAAATGTATCAGTCTGTGGAAATTAGTCTTACGGTGATATTTTCATCAACAAAAAATCAACCGTTTACTTCGTAAACTTGCGAATCCCTTCCTTTTGAATAAACATACCATTTGACATCTTGTTTATTAATTAACAGCAGCCTCATGATAATAAAACAAACGTTTGGAAAAGAATGTTCGTAAAGGCTACGAAAGGAACAACATCGTCCATATTCTTCAAGAAGAATTAAAATTAAAATTTTATAGAGAATGTTATTTTAACATGTTTAAACCAGCATGCTGATTAAAACGAATTCATTTCTTTGAACATTCAAATTCGTAATTAAATATATTTTGACATTTTTCAGCGCAATTTTCTTCTGTCACGGGAATATGCTTGACATGGAATGCCACAACAGATCATGTTTTTATAAAATGTCACGTATTCAGTCATTTCAGTATAGAACAAGAAATACTATTGATGGATTCGTCTGATCGAAATCGGGCTAAATGCTTCATTTATGATTCACCAAAATGTACTGCAAGGGAACACGACGATATCATTTTGGAAAAATCGTATGAAAATAGCTTTACACTTGTGCTTCAGACTGCAAAGAAGAATGTAGAAGGGGATTGGAAATGTTTTCACGGTAGCGACAAAGCCAATGTTAATATACACTTAATGAAAGGTATAGTATATAGCAAATGCTACTTATTGGATCAAGTCTAAAAACAAAAAAAGAGGCAAAAAATACTAAAGAGATATTCAAACTCGTAACACGAACATAAACTGACAACGCCAAGACTAAAAAACGAAAAAGACAAAAACAAACAACAGTATACAGAACACTGCATAGAAAACTTAAGACTGATCAACACGAACTCAACCAAAACCCAGGAGTGATATCTGGTGTTCAGGAAGGGTGGTAAGATTCTGTTCAACATATGGCTCCCGTTGTGTTGTTCCTGTAGGTACAAACCCGGTGATAATTCTAATTCGGTTAATCTAAACTTGTTTTGTGTAAAATTTAAGTCAGGATGTGTAATGCATAAAGGAGTTGTGTTTTTTGTCTATGAGACAACAGCCAAACAAGACAACAATGTAAAATATCAATGTCCAAAAGTAAACCCCGGCTATCAAATAAATGTATAATTTATATGAAAAAGTCATGTTGTAATTTGACATGATACAATTATTTATAGAACCATTGATGGTGTATTGATAGGCATTCAAGTACAAAATAAAGACAAGACGTAAACCTTTTTGAGTTATTAATCAGAGAATGCATGGCGGAGTACGCAAACTATTTTACACATAAGGCCTGATACATTTTTCGATACGTCAATCGACATGAAATGACACACTGACTTCTATCAACACCTAACTTCACAAAATGCAGAACACGTACATATATTTAAGAACTAAAAAAAAAATGAAAAGCAACAAACAACAATCCAACTGGTAAAAACACCTGTCACAGTTATCTTATGTGTGTAAAACAATTTGTTTAAGTATCAATTCAATCCCTCCCCTTTTGGTACAAATTTGAATAATGAATAACGAAAGTGTCTTCGTATACACAGACAGCACAGACAAATGACAGATGTCAGAGTGGATCTATCTCACTTTAAAGCAATTTAATCTTTCCTCGATGGTAATCAATTGATAGTCAACACCAGGGTCATTCGTTCTCGATTCTTTCTTGATTCAATTGAAATATGACATAACTTTTTCTGTTATAAGAAAAAATTTGCTATTGGGACGTCACGTAAAATTACAACTCTGTCTGCTGTATTTTCGCAAACGGAACACAATCTTTGAAAAAAACAATTTTGGCATTCCTCCACCAGATGATTATTATATAATAGGCAACGTCATCCGTTCCCGATTCTTCATTGGTCAAGATTAAATGTGTACTCACTTGTTTTTCTATTTTGATAAAAATTCTCTATTTTGACTTCAGTTAAAAAAAACTCTGATTCAGTGACTTATCTAAGCACTTTGACTTTCTAGTTATTACGATCTTCAACAAAAACGTAATGACACCAAGGGGTCATATGGTATATGGCGGTCTTTTGAAAAGTCATCAACCCCCTGTGATCTTTTTTTTAAATGATAAGTACTCCGTTTCGTATTATAATATTGTTCTCAATAGGTACCATTTACTCAGCTGATATACATTTGTCTGGTGAAATTATGAAGAAGACAACGAAAAATAAGTTTACACTTACTTGCTACTCATGTTGGTTACCTGCTACAGAGAGTGTTAATTTTTTCGTTAATGGTGGGCTTGAAGATAGCGTTCGCTACAAAGATGGAAAGTGTTATAAAAAAAGAAAGCTGTGTAGCCCATCAGAATGTACATGCTCGAATGAAGGTAACAAATTCACCTGGAGTTTTTTAAGTGACTTGTCATTTCTCGAATTTTCATGTGAAATGAGATTCAAAGATGAAAAAACATCGACATTTTCCATTCAGACGGCAAATCTTAGTTACAATGAATCAGGTAAATATCTTTTAATACTATATCGTCGCTTTGAACTTTCCAGAACTGTCATCATGTATACATATATCACATGCATTTTAAATATTTTATTTCATTCAATGATTCTTCCTGATGTTATGACAAGGAACATCTTTCATTAACCAACAAAACAAAATAATTCACTAAATATTAAAAGTTACAATCATTTTTATATAGAACAACACAACTCACCTACTTAGGAAATAAAATATTAGGTCAATATTTACATGTTTTCCTTCCTTTTTTCATTTTTATTGTCCCCGCGCGACGCATTGTGGGAGACAGAGAATTACCAGGTGTCCGTCCGTCCATCTGTGTGTCCTCTCTTGTTATCGCTGTCACGTGTACAATTCTCCTCAGATTTTTATAAAACTTATATCTTAGATTTATATCAGCAATGTCTTGGATGAGTTCGAAATCAGTGCCGATCAATTATTTTTAAAAGAGTTATGCACTTGGAAATATAAATGATATTGGAAATTGCATTGCGAGCGCTCTCCTGTATACAATTCTTGCCAGACTTTTATGAAACTTATATCATAGGTTTATATCTACATTGCCTCGAACATATTCGAAAATCAGTTCCGATCGATTATTTTTAAAAGAGTAATGCCCATTGGAAACATTAATTATATGGAAAATTGCATCGTTAGCGCTTTCGTATGTAAATGTTTGCCAGATGTTTATGAAACTTATATCTTAGGTTTATATCAACAATGTTACGGACAAGTTCAAAAGTCAGTGCCGATCAATTATTTTTACAAGATGTTTTTTTTTTTTATTTATTGCCCTTGGACCATGGACAGATAAAATATGTGCAACGCGGGGGACATATGTACCCTTTTCTTGTATTCGTATGATAAAATCCAGACAGCAATATTTTCAAAATGGATCTAATAAAAGTAGATTCTTTATTCAATTTTGGTGAATCAAGAACAAGTTTTAGTTAGGCTCCTTTGAATAAAGCACAATTGGGGAATCTCCCTCAAAGAATGGCTTTTATGTTTGTAGTGCTATCATATGCAATTGGAATAATATTTAAAATGGCATGCCAGGTAGTAGTGGAGTGACAAATCAAGAAAAAGGTGCTTATTTTACTACTTTAATGGACCGGCATAACTGCAGGCTGGAAATGATTTCTTTGCAATGCTAATACATTATTCTTACTTTTTTACCCGGTCGTAGCCATTTCCTACGGTGCAGTTTTTCATAAAATGAAAATAAAAAGACTTGTTGATTTTTTCATTCAAAAAGCAACTCGACAAACTATTTTGCTTTTGTTTCTTTTTATAGTCATCAAACTCTTGATTTGGAATTTAATGAAGAGTTTAAGTACTTACTTATATTGTTAGACTATAATTTCTTCTGTTTTGCCTAATTTATTGTTCGTTTTCACTCAGTTTTAGGAATACGCACTCTGTTCTATTTCCATAGAGTGGTTAGAACATTTGTAAACTTACATTGCATCGATATCTTCCAAATTTATCGCGCTGAAAAGTTATAAAACTTCAATTTGTACAGTTATGAGACCTTTTCGGCTCGGTTTTTCTAATAAATTCACGTTTTTTGACATTTTTTAATATACATTACAATTGTATGAATTTCCGGATATATTTCTCCTACCGATACGATGTAGATTTACTTTTTATTGACGAATCGCTTCAGAAGTTCATCATACTCTTGTTCGTGTTTATGCCAATGAAATATGTTAGCATTAACATTTTTGTATCACAGGTTTATTTAACAATGTATTCAAAAGATTTTGACTGATAAATATTTGCCAAAAAGATATTTATCGTGTTTTTTCTAAAAGTTAAAAATATATTTTTTCTAACAATAAAAGTCAAATTGCATCGGATAAGTGTTATTCCGGGAATATATCTACTTATTGTAGTCCACTAATGCTGACATCTTCGCTAGCTTTTTTTATTATATATCCTAGTCTGTTATGACCAAATAAATGCCCATGCCTTTTGACTGGACTGTAAGTATGTTCTGCAAGCACAAATCGTAGAAATGCGATAAACATCTGCGTTTCACTGAATCTGACGAAGGGCTCCACCAAATAATAAAATTATCTGAACGACATTAAGAGATAAAGTCACTCCATGTTCACAACCATGGCCCTTTACTACAGGGCTTGCTCTGTTTTTTTTGTCAACTTAGCAATCCACAGAAAGAAGATTTAACGATGAGTTGAATGTTTAACATGTATGAGAAGGCTTCTCGTTGCCTGTTTTGTGTTATCCGTGAAGATTGTCCTGTGCACAAAAAGCCTTTCTCATGTCTGTTCTTTTTGTAAAATACTGATCAATACTGCTGCTTCCTACTTCATGCATTGAAAACAAAGTACGATTCAGCCAAACTATAGTTTTAGTTTGAAAAACATTATGCAAAATCAATAGTTATACGGAAACAAAAAGGGCTTGGAGAATCAAATGTTGGGTTCAGTATTTTACTGCTTTCGGAAGCCTTTCAATTAAGCATCTAACCATGTAAATTATAGATAAATGCTGACAGAAATGGAGTCTGAAAATCAGACACCAACTTGCAATGAAGACCAAACATTACATGCAGGAGCTTCAATAGTTTCTACTAAAATGTAGTCCCTAGAAACAACAAATGGGATTACCCAACAACATCTGAAATATCTATTTCATATTCCATACAACACTCATTGTTTGCTTAAGAAGTTCCTGTTGTGGATAGTTTATGTTTAAGCTTACAATGGTGAGGGTCTTTACAGTGACTTCTAAACTTCCCGATGACATGATGTATAAAGTCTCAGCAATAGCAGAATGTAAAGTTAAATTAGCGACTTTTATTTTGTTATACCATTTCATCTAAAATTGGCATTACAACTACACCATGAGTTTGAATAAAAATAATGTAAATGGCGACCTAAATTCGCATGACTTTCGTGCATGATACTTGGGATTACAAAACATATAATAATATAAGCGGGAACTTATTATATTGACATCAATGTTGAGACAATTGATGGTAGAAATACTTTTCACCCCAAACTTTATATGGCCTTCTTTCAGTAGAAAACAAACACTTCAAACGCTATGATAAGTCCCTTTAAAATTAAGCTTGAACTAGACAGATCTTTGACTTTTAATGATTCTAATAACAAACTTATGATATTATACCCAATGTACAAGCTAAAATAACTTATTTACTTTATTTTCCCTATGCTTATGGAGAGTTTTTATGTTTTATGGAAAAAGTCGATACTTCGAACAAGTCTTTGATATTTATCCAACTTATTTCAAACAAAACTTAGATCCAATACCAATTTCTGCAGAAGACACTGACAAAATTTCCCCAATTCGGACCAGCTTTTACAAAAGGCTATAAGAATTCAAATTTGTATATACGTTTCTACCTTATGCTCGAGTCATATACACCAAACATAGCAACAGTTTATTATATATACCCCTATGAAATAATGTTATGATATGTTCAGCAAAATGCTTTGTAAACGTTAGACCAGCAATTGCATGCTGATGCCCAATAAGAAATATCTCCTTTGGGAGACGTTTTATACATTGTAGTCCCACATTATAATAATATGAGAATATCATGGGCTTTCGTCTTTCTTTTATAGCAACCGTTAGTAAGTTATTAACTTTATCTCGGCTAGATGACATATATGTTGACTGGAGTTTATGCTCGAAATACAGTAGACGTATTCTTATTTGCGAACAGTTTAATAGTAGTGTCCCAGAATTAATACTACCCTATGATGCACTCATGGCTCCTTTATTTAAAGCATTTTTCAATTGATAGAGAAACATAAACTATTTTAAAAGCATTGAACCAAAAGTATAGACGGCGTTCCGTCATCCTTGACTGTCGAAGTTCATGTTTTGTCTTGTCCAAAAGCACTAAAGACATTGACGATTTCTTTACTGTTTATAAATATCACACATTCGCCTGAAGAATTAATAAAATTTAGAATGGAAATAGGAAATGTGTCAAAGAGACAACAACCCGACCATAGAGCAGACAACAGCCGAAGGCAACCAATGGGTCTTCAATGCAGGGAGAAACTCCCGCACTCGGAGGCGTCCTCCAGCTGGCCCCTAAACAAATAAGTATACTAGTTCAGTGATAATGGACGTCATACTAAACTCCAAATTATACACAGGAAACTAAAATTAAAAATGATACAAGACTAACAAAGGCCAGAGGCTCCTGACTTGGGAGAGGCGCAAAAATGCGTCTACTGTGAGAAAAAGTGCGTATACTGTGAGAAAAAATAAGCACACATACCGGTTTTCTTCGAGAGACCTATGTCATAATATTTCTTTCAAGACCTTCTTTTAACATGCAAGGGTACAGTGCTTGAAATAAAAGTTGTGTATGCAACACACAGTGTTCGGCTTGTCCAAGTATTTGATCGTTCGGAGGGTTTGAGCGATGTAGGAATCATCTTCCTCTCGAAGCAATTTCTGAAGAAGATGACGATGAAAACTATGTCTAAACAAATTATGTAAAGTCAGAATTATTGGAAAATTATACACATCTCACAGTAGAACTCATGGATGTTGTTTAGATCTTTGACTATGTTTAATGTTAAACTCAGTGGAAAACAATGAGAATTAAGGCCAGTTTTCTGAAAAAGTTGTGCTCTTTGCATCTAAAAGACCCTTGCAGCAACTCTTTCTGAGAGGTCTTAAGTATGCTGCTGATGTTAAATACAATCTCAATGTTCACAACAGAAACATATTTGTTTACCTATCAGTACTTCATTTAAACCATGTTATTCGGTTACTTAGTGAAATATTTGCCGCTTGCAACCGGTATAATATTGAACAAAAACAAAATAAACTTCGATGCTTTCTTAAGAAACCGCGTGAAAACCAGAAATAGATCTTTAAATGTACATGTAATATACAAAATATCAATTGAAATCAATTTCCTGTTTTGTCTTTGCTTTTTTCTTGTTGCCCACCTGAATTTCCCTAAAAATG